TTTTTTTTTTTTTCATTTTGTTTATTAGTATTGTTAAAAACATTCTCATTTTTGCTTTATATATATATTTTCTATATATTCTGGATTAAGTGGAAGAGGAGTTGGTTAATAACCAAACTGACCTTCGTCCAGAAAATAAGTCTATTTTCTAAGAGTGTATTATTATTTTCTTTCCTTTTTTTTGCAACTTATTAATAAAGGCATTATTATTATTATTATTTTACTGTAATCTGAAAGAAAAAATTTTTAAAATCACTCTGACAAAACTTTAAACTTTAAAATATTGTTTTGAACCACACTGGTTTAGTTGTAAACTTGAAGATAATGCATAGAATTAAATTGGCAAAACTCTAAACTGCATGATAATGTCTGGAAATGTATTGGGGAAACACTAAATTTTAGAAATAAGTCTGGAATCGAAGTGGCCAACATTAAGTAAGTAAATTTTTCTACATTTGAAGAAGAATTCCGAACCTCAATGGCTTAACTATAATCTGACAAAACTTTAAACTTTAAAATATTGTTTTGAACCACACTGGTTTAGTTGTAAACTTAAAGATAATGCGTGGAATTAAATTGGCAAAACTCTAAACTACATGATAATGTCTGGAAATGTATTGGGGAAACACTAAATTTTAGAAATAAGTCTGAAATCGAANCCAGAACCTTCAGAACGGTTTATTTACGGAATTCGTAAATATGACCATATTAGTCATAAGTTGGCAGAGACTGGGTGGTTGAACATGAAAAACAGACGTAACCTGCATGCAACTTGCGTTTATTATAAAATTATTAAAAGTCAGCCTCCTTACTTGCTGCAACGCCTATCTTTCAGAAGCGATGTCCATAACATTAATATAAGGAGGAAAGGTGTATTGACGGTACCACGCCGCGCCTCGCACCGATCCTTTTCCTACCAGATAGCTAAAACGTACAATGATCTACCTATGAACCTTATAGGATTGAACTGTATTTCGTTCAAGAGTAAATTAAAATNGTCTGAAATCGAACTGGCCAACATTAAGTAAGTAAATTTTTCTACATTTGAAGAAGAATTCCGAACCTTAATGGCTTAACTATAATCTGACAAAACTTTAAACTTTAAAATATTGTTTTGAACCACACTGATTTAGTTGTAAACTTCAAAATAATGCGTGGAATTAAATTGGCAAAACTCTAAACTCCATGATAATGTCTGGAAATGTATTGGGGAAACACTAAATTTTAGAAATAAGTCTGGAATCGAACTGGCCAACATTAAGTAAGTAAATTTTCCTACATTAGAAGAAGAATTCCGAACCTCAATGGCTTAACTATAATCTGAAAGAAAAAATTTCTAAAATCACTCTGACAAAACATTAAAATATTGTTTTGAACTTCACTGGTTTAGTTATAAACTTGAAGATAATGCATGGAATTAAATTGGCAAAACTCTAAACTACATGATAATGTCTGGAAATGTATTGGGGAAACACTAAATTTTAGAAATAAGTCTGAAATCGAACTGGCCAACATTAAGTAAGTAAATTTTTCTACATTTGAAGAAGAATTCCGAACCTTAATGGCTTAACTATAATCTGACAAAACTTTAAACTTTAAAATATTGTTTTGAACCACACTGGTTTAGTTGTAAACTTCAAAATAATGTGTGCAATTAAATTGGCAAATCTCTAAACTGCATGATAATGTCTGGAAATGTTTTTGGGAAACACTAAATTTTAGAAATAAGTCTGGAATCGAACTGGCCAACATTAAGTAAGTAAATTTTTCTACATTTGAAGAAGAATTAATGATTTTACTGTAATATTATTATTATTATTAATGAAAAAAGAAAAAGAAAAAAGAGCGCTTCGACGTCATAGACCATTCACAATAATTTCACTTAGGACCACATAGTAGCACATTAAGAGTATTCAAAGTTGGTCGAATAGTTGTATATCTTTACAATATTTGATCAGATTCAATGAGTGTTCATAGGCAGACTGTATGCTTGTTATATTATAAGTATTTCTTGCTTGTTCATATAATGTACATTCTACAATGATGTATTCTAAAGTTCAATTTGAACACATGGGTCTCTGCTCATCTTTTAACAAATATTTGGAGGTCAACGATGTATGTCCAAATCTACTTAGTTTTACTTGTTCTGACCTGCTTAATTCCCTTTCGGAACTTATTCGAAAGACATGGGGTTTGATTTTTCTCAAGAAACTTGGAGTATTTTGCCATTGTTCTTCCCAGCTGTTATAAATCAAGGATCTTACATGTTTTGCAATATCTTTATGTCTGCAAAAGTTCACATCCATTGTTGCTTTATCTGCAGCTTCGGATGCTGCACAATCAGCACGTTCATTCCCCCCAATTCCAACGTGACTTGGCACCCATATAAAATTTACTTTACGATTTTGTTTTGTGATGCTGACCAGTGTGCCTAAGATTTGTTGTAGCATTGCTTCTTTTGTGTACAGGTTTTGTTAATACTAAGCGAATCACTTATTATTAGAAAATTGCGGTGCTTGGAATATTGCATATAACTCTGCAAGAAATATTGAGGAACATGGTTGAAGTGCCCAGGAATGTTCTGTATTATTGACTGATATTGCACTACCAACACCGTTTTTTTTTTTGATCCATCAGTGTAAACACAAAAGGCATGAAAAGGTGTGAAAATCAGCAAGAAACATTGCATGGGGGGCGTTTGATTTGGAAAATTTAGTAACCTAGCTTTAATGGGATTCAAGAACCATGAAGGCAGGTTTTACTGTAATCTGAAAG